CACGCCAGCAGGAGACACTCATGCCTCAGCAGCTTCGTGAGTGGGTTGTTCAGCGTGGCTCCTCTGGGGGTAGTGTTCGTTGCCCGTACATCAGGCGCACGGGTCCCCGGACTGGTGACCCCTGCGGGAAGACTGGGCACACTGAGTATCGCTGCTTCTTCCGTCTTGAGGATGCCTGGCGCACCGAGTACGGAGATGACCAGGAGATCCCCAACTGGTTAGGATTGCTAGCGAAGGGGGTGGATGTGTTTGCTTTTGACTTTGACAAGATCAATGCTGGACTTTATGCTATGTATGCTGTTTCTGCTAGTGCTCGTGACTATAACACGTGTGTGCCTCGCGCTGCTAGTGTAGAGGCTGCTCCTCTAGGTGCTTGTGAGTCTGATGCCGCATGTGCTGCTTCTGCTGAGGCCTTGCACACCTTCACACTTGACTCAGGCGCGTCTCGCTGCTTCTTCCGCGATTGCACCACAGTCACACCGCTCACAGCACCTGTCCCGATCGCTTTGGCTGACCCCTCTGACCCAGTCGTTGCACAAGCCTCCACTGTCCTCCCGTGTCCGGCGGTCCCCTCCGGCTCTCTCCCATGTCTCCAATTCCCCTCGTTCTCTACAAACTTGGTGAGTAACGCTGTCCTCCAGGATGAGTTGGTCACTACCACTACTCCTGGGGGTGAGCGGGTGGCGATCTGTATGTGCTCACGGACTGGCCGCCACCTTGCTACGCTCATACGGAGACCTGGGTCGGGACTGTACACACTGACCACTGAGTCTGCACATGTGGCTGCGCCAGGTCAGGTGGCTGCGTCAGGTCAGTTAGCTGCGTCTTGTTCGTGTTGCCTTCTCACGCACCCGTCTATCCTCTGGCACCACCGTCTTGGTCACCCCTCCCTACCGCGCCTGCGTGGCATGCACTCTCGTCTCCTTGTCTCTGGCCTCCCCAGGTCCCTGCCCCCACTCCCGCGCTCGCTTGCACTGCCGTGCCTTCCCTGCGTCGAGGGGCGGCAGCGCGCCGCTCCTCACTCCTCCTCGTTTCCTCAGACCACTGCTCCTCTGCAGACTCTCCACATGGACATGTGGGGCCCCGCCCGCGTCCGTAGACAGGACCACGAGCACTACTTTCTGCTGGTTGTTGACGACTACACGCGCTACACCACAGTCTTCCCCTTGCAGAACGAGGCGAATGTCCGCGGTGTTTTGATCTCCTGGATCCGCACTGTTCGTCGCCAGCTGAGCGCGCGGTTTCAACAGGACCTTCAGGTCCTGCGACTGCACTTTGACAAAGGCGGTAAGTTTTCCTCCCTCCTCCTTGAGGACTTTTGTCGTGAGGAGGGCATCGCCCAGTCGTTCACGCTTCCGGCCTCTCCACAGCAGAATGGGATTGCTGAGCGTCGCATTGGCTTGATCATGGAGGTTGCTCGCACCTCCATGATCCATGCAGCTGCCCCCCATTTCCTGTGGCCGTTTGCAGTCCGATACGCCGCGCATCAGCTCAACCTCTGGCCCCGTGTCTCTGTGCCAGAGACCTCGCCTACACTGCGTTGGACGGGGGAGGTTGGCGATGCGTCGGCGTTTCGGGTCTGGGGCTCGTTCTCCCTTGTCCGCGATACCACCATGGGCAAGCTCTCTCCTCGCACTCTCCGCTGCGTCTTCCTTGGATTCCCCACCAACGCCCCGCCCTGGCAGTTTTACCACCCTGCCTCGCGCCGCGTCCTGTCCTCCTAGGACGTCACCTTTGACGAGTCGGTCGGATTCTACCGTCTCCACCCACACGCGTCTTCTCCAGTCCCCCCGCCGCCCCTCTTCTTGGTTCCAGGTCCCCCCCCGGTAGACCCCCTCCCCCCACAGGGTCCTGCTCCCTCAGGTGTGTCTCAGGTCGACCCACCCCCCTTGGTTGAGTCTTTGGAGGTCTCCTCTGACACCTCTGGCCCACCTGAGGGGGGTGACCCCGCTGCTGACGACACGGCGGCCACTCGCCGCCCCCACGCTTTGAGACCCCTCCTGGTTTTCTGCCTCGACCGTCTTCGCCGCCTCCGCAGCCTGTCGCTCTGGACTCTGGTGCTGCTGGGGGTGGTGACACTGGGGGTGCGGACTCTGGAGGTGCTGGTCCTGGGGGTGCTGACTCTAGGGGTGCTAAGTCTGCGACTGCTGGTTCTGGGGGTGCTGACTCTGGGGGTGCTGCGAGTCCTAGTGGTGGTCGGGTCGTGGGTGGTCCTGCTGGAGGTTCTGGCGTTGGACAGCAGCAGTAGTCTCGTCCACAGGAGACTCCCTTGCTGCAGCAGCTTCGTGAGTGGGTTATTCGGCGAGCCTCTCTAGTGCTGGAGCTTGGAGGACTGGTGCTGGAGGTGCTGGAGCTGCTGGTACTGGAGGTACTGGAGCTGGAGGTACTGGAGCTACTGGTGCTGGAGGTGTTGGAGCTGGAGGTACTGGAGGTGCTGTATCTGGAGGTACTAGAGGTACAGGAGCTGGAGGTGCTGGAGGTGCTGGAGCTGGAGGTACTGGAGGTACTTGAGCTGGAGGTGCTGTCGCTGGAGGTACTGGAGCTGGAGGTACTGGAGCTACTGGAGCTACTGGTGCTGGAGGTGCTGGAGCTGGAGGTGCTGGAGGTACTGGAGCTGCTGGTGGTGGAGGTGCTGGTGGTGGAGGTGCTGGAGCTGGAGGTGCTGGAGCTACTGGCGGTACAGGTACTGGAGGTGCTGGTGCTGGAGGTACTGGAGCTGGAGGCTCTGGTACTGTGGGTACTGCGCAGCGACGACCGTTTTTCTACCCGCAGCCGCAGTCGTCACTGCCACCACCTGATTCGGCACTTCGCCAGGTTCTTAGTCTTCCGTCTTCCACTGGCCTTACTCCACCTCTCCTGTGTCCGACGCCTGTCCAGTCATAGCCGCAGCTACTACCTGGCTCCCCACTGCCTCCTCCTTCTCCTTACCCTGCGCAGACAGGCTCCCTGGCAGTGCGGCGTAAGCCTGAGTCTCGTCGTGCCTCCTCTGTTCGCACTGTCAGTCATGTTCGTCGTCCTCGTCCTCCACCTGTCCCCGGCACGCACACTATGGCACTTCGTCCTTCCTCTGTTCGACAGCGTGTTGCTCTGCCGTCTCCTCTGACGTCCTCTCTTCCTGACGTTTCTGACCCTGAGTCCGACCTTGCTCGTGCTGCTAGTCCTACTGTCACTCGTTTCCTGGCCACTCTTGTCACTGACCCTTCCTTTGAGTCTACTGCTGCGTCTGCCTTAGTCACTGAGCTAGTAGACTTTGCTGCTACCTGTCGTCTCGACTACGTCGCGAGTCTTGTTACTGAGTCTGAGTCTGACTGTCATCCGTCCGTCGGGGGTGAGCTAGTCCTGTCGTGCTACATGTGCTTGTCACTGGGCCATGGCCACCCAGGAGCTTCGCTGGCTATATTTCCTCCTCATCGACCTTGGTGAGCGGCCTCGCTCTCCCCCAGTCTTGTTCGCTGACAACATGTCTGCTGTGCTGTTGTGCGAGGAGCCTCGACTGGTTGGGAAGGTGAAGCACATCCTGCTTCGTTACTTCCTTATGCGCGAGTTGCAGCAGCGTGGCCAGGCCCGCGTACTCCGTGTGGTCTCTGAGGCCAACACTTCATATATCTTCACCAAGGCGTTGCCGCCTTGTGACGAGCTGTGCCTTGTGCCTGCCAGTCCTCACTTGCTTACGTAGAGATGATTGTCTTGCTTGTCTTGTACTCTTGCATCTCTTATTCTTGCTACATACTTGCATGTGGACTGGCCTTGTGGCCTCTTGCTTGTGATTCGGACTGTGTCGTGATCTTGAGATCCACCATGAGATTTTGTGTTGTTCTTGTGGACTGGACTTGTGACCGTTGCCTTTTTTTGCTGACTGGTCCTGTGATCCTTGCTCTCACATTGTGTGGTGACTTTGTGATCCACCCTGAGATATATGTGTTGGTTTCCACAGGACTACCGTCACCTAGACTATGGGGGTGTGTTAAACTATGATTGTTATAGGTTGTTAGTTTAGTCTAGGTGTTACACTGAGTTATGCTGTAGAGGGTACAACCCCCTTTAGGGTTTGCTATATGTTTCCTTGTACTCCTTGTTTCTAGTCATTCATTCTCTCGTTCGTACTTTGACATGCTCTGTTACTCACGCTCTCTGATGTGGGGCCCTGTATGTCGGCGAGGCCGACTTCTACGACATCTGCCCGGCTCTTCCCGGGTCTCTCGTCACCGTGTTGGTTGCTTGGCCACGCGGCTCGGGCAGAACCTCTACTCGCTCTCACCCGCGGTGCTCACCCCACAGGATGACCTAAAGGTCCTGGGTGGGAGAGAACGCAGACTGGACTTGCAGACCCGTTCCCAAAGGGTGCGCGAAGGGTAAAAGGAGCGGGCACTACATGCAGGTGGTGTAGTGGGATACCACTCTTGTGTGCTGCGCCTCTGCACAGTGCCCTGAAGGATTTGTCATGTGGGTCTGCGACTACTCGCCCCAAGGGAAACCTATTGCAAAATTCCTTCTAGGCCGCCTGCTACTAGTGAATTAAGGGCGTGCAGGTGGTGAAGTTACGAACTGAGGGCACATATGGGGGAGCGAATCATGTAGTGCATGTATTTATGTTCAGATTCTTTGAACCTTGCCATTTTTTTTTTTTGGAGCTCTTAAGTCACGTAAATCATCTCACAATACAAAACAAATATCTACCGTATCACTAAGCAATATACACACACAAAACATGTCTGAAAACAGTAGGTGCACATAGTACGCACTCAGAGAAAGTCTGAGTACATGTACCAAAAGCACACATGCGGTCACATTTGTTCTGTCAAAACAAAAAGCAGAAACCACTCTTGCAGTTACTGGCACAGATTCCCCCACAAATACACCTGCACACCCAACACTTTCAGAGATGGCCCCCTTTCCTCCAAACCTATGCAGCATGCATCCTGTCTGCAACCGTCCTCCCAGTTAATCAAGTTCTGACTTACCACACACCCTCTCTCTAGCAGACTTCACTGGCAGGCAGTCTAGAAAGGGGTTTGGCCAACGAAGTTGCCCGGGGGCGAGTAGTCGCAGACCCACATGCCGGAGCCGTCAGGGCACTGAGCAGAGGCGCAGCCGACATGAGTGGTGTCCCGCCACACCACCTGCGTGTAGTGCCCACACATCTTGCCATCCGCACACCCGTCGGGAATGGGGCTGGGGGTCCAGTCCGCCTTCTCGTCCACCCACGACTGCACCGCCCCACGGTCCTCCTGTGGGATCAGCCCCGCGGGTGACAGCCAGTAGAGGTTCTGCCCGAGCCCCTCTGCTCCGCCGTGCTCCAGAGGGCACCCGATGGACGCCAGCTCGTTCGCCCACTCCTGTGCCGTTGCTGCCACTCCGTCGTCCCATGCCAGGTCCGGCACACCCACCTCCTGCCGTGCCTTGTTGTGCTCCTCCAGGATCCCTGTGATGTCGATGCTTCCGCCGCCACCACCGCCATTGTTACCATCACCTGCACCGTTCCCACCATCCCCACCGCCGTTCCCACCATCCCCACCGCCGTCTCCGTTATAGTCACCACTATTGTGGTCACCACCGTTGTCACCACCATTGTAGTCACCACCGTTGTCACCACCATTGTAATCACCACCGTTGTCACCACCATTGTAATCACCACCGTTGTCACCACCATTGTAATCACCACCGTTGTCACCACCATTGTAATCACCACCGTTGTCACCACCATTGTAGTCACCACCGTTGTCACCACCATTGTAGTCACCACCGTTGTCACCCCCGTTGTAGTCACCACCGTTGTCACCCCCGTTGTAGTCACCACCGTTGTAGTCACCACCGTTGTAATCACCACCGTTGTAATCACCACCGTTGTAGTCACCACCACTGTAATCACCTTCATAATCAGCAGCTGCGTTAGTGTGTGCAGATGCCATCTTAATCCCATGATTCACACCATCATGGTGATAGCTGCCGAGGTGATTAGCGCCCTGCGCATTGCTGTTGCCTCCACCATTCCTCGTGTGGCGGGCCACGTTATAAGCTCCACCGCTGCTGCTCTGGTACTGCCGCCCCACTGGCCTGCCACTGCGGTCGTCGCGCGTGCGGCGCTCGTGGCTGGAACGGTGATGAATCGCCACGTCGTTGGTGCTGGCTGCGCGGAATGCGCCGTTGACGGCGATTGCTCCGCCGTTCCCGTCATGGCGAGAACCACCACCTCGACGATTGGATGCTGCATGGAGCTTGACGTTCACAGGTCCGTGAGAGCCGTGATTCACGGCGTTACGTGCGGCGTGAGGAGCGCCGTGAGGGGTGGCGGCGTAATGGACGGCGTGAGGAGCGGCGTGAGAGGCGGCGTTCCCCACGCGACTGGCAGCAGCGTGCTGACTCCGACTCGGAGTCGCGTGCGAACCAGCGGCGCCTCTGGCAGAATACACGAGGGGCTCTGACACTCCTGCCACCGTCGCACGGGGCGCGTTGTGGATGTTCGTGGATGCCGCCGCGGCATTCCACGAGACAGCGTCGTCGCGGACGAGAGCACGTCGCCAGGGATGAGCGGCCGTGCAAGAGCCGATGACGAGAAAGAGAAGAGGAACCGCCACAAGCTGTGGTTTCGTCAGGGTCCCCATCGAGCCGCAAACGATTAAGATTAAATCAGTGTGAAGAGTAACACGCTGCAAACGGATAAGGAGTGCGATAATTCTATCGGGTCGGGTACTGAAAAACAACACGTTGTAAAAGATGGTGCACAGCGAGTTGCTGCAAAGCTGGAGGTTGCGGATTTGTGTTATCTAACAAATCGGGCTGCTCAATTTGTACCTCAAACTCTGGTCCGGAATGCGGCTCGTGCAGCGGGGGCTTTCACGTGATGGCGACGGGTAACCGTGGTCGCGTTGTGTGGTGTGCATGGGAGGGAAGGTTCCAAGCGTTCGTGATTCGAAGTCAGAATCTTTTTGAAGTCCGAATTCCTTCGAAGTCAACGCTGGAGTCTGTCGTAGCACCTCTGAAACGCTTCGAACCATTTTGTTGGTTTTTTCAAAATGTATGTTATGAATGAACTGATAGAGTGCACTAAATTAAAGAATATCTAGAATGTGATTAACTGAACATCGATACAATGAAAGTGACGGGAAAAAATATAGGGGGGATCTCATTTAGGCGGGGGAAGTCGGGTATATATATCTTGGAAAGGTGACGAATGGTGAGGGGCGACTCGGGAATGGTTTGGGGCAACAGTGTAGGCCTAGCCAGATGACATGTAGCACTCAGAACTGTACCCGCTAAAATGCGAGTACAGTAAGGAATTGTAATTTCTTGCAATGCATGTATTTTCAATGCATATCGCGTTTCGTCGGGTTCGTCGTACGTGTCAAATTATATTTGTATGTTTGTAGGCTGTAGTGTGGTAGCTTACATAGAGTACAACCCTTTTATGGTTTCCCTACTAGTACTTCTGTTTCATGCTAGTGAAGTCATCATTGCCTCATAGTTCTGACATGGTATTCAGAGCAGGTCCCTCTGTAGGACCGCTCCGTTAGGGTTTATTAACCGTACGTAATGCCCGTTTTCCTGCCTGCCCTGCCCGATCGTAACTGCCCTGCCCTCACAGCGTCTTGCACGCTGCCCTGCCCGCGCTACCCCGCGAGCACTGCCCTGCCCTGCACGCGACCTGCTTGCTGCCTAGCGCGCGACCCGCTTGCTGCCTTGCAAGCGCCCTGCTCACGCAGCCTGTACGCGCACTGCCTGGCCCTGCGCGCACACTGCCCGCTCGCTGCATGCGCGGCCCGTGCGCTGCCTGCACCGCCTGCGCGCTGCCTTTGCTGCCCGCGCGCTGCTTGCCCTGCTCGCGAACTGCCTGCGTGCTGCCTGCACCGCCAGCGCCCTGCCCGTGCACTGCGCGCCCTGCCTGCGCACTGCCCACACGCTGCCCGCACGCTGCTGGCACCGCCCACGCGCTACTGTGCACTGCCCCTACGGCCCTCGCCGCCCGCGCTCTTCCCGCACAGCCCGCGCACTGCCCTGCGCCGCCTGCACGCGCTCCACCCTGAGCTTGCTTTGCATTTCTTGACTGGTCTTGTGACCTCTTGTTCTCCCCCACTTTGCCTATGGGGGTGTGTCAAACTATCATTATGTTTATGTTGTGTAGGCTGTAGTGGGGTAGCCCATAAGGGGTACAACCCAATTAGGGTTAGTACTTGTACCTGCTTTGTTTCTAGTTCATCCATTCTCGTTCAGTATTCTTGACACCACCCGCTACCTGTACCCGGTATCCGTACTTGCTACCCGCACCCCGCCCACCATTCGTTACCCGCTACCCGCCACCCGCACCCGCTACACGCCGCCCCACCCACTACCCGCCACCCCACCCGCACTCGCTACCCACCACCGCACCCGCTAACAGCCGCGCGCACGCTCCCCCCCCCACACTGCACCCTGCACCCCGCAGCCCGCCCGCAACCCGCACCTGCACCCTTGAACCGCCCGGCACCACACTCACCCGCACCCAACCGCCCGACACCGCAATCAACCGCACTCTACCGCACCCAACCGCACCCAACCTCACTTAACCACACTGGACCACACTGGACCGCGCTAGACCGCACTCGTCCGTGCCTGACCATTCTAGCAACAACTGAGTCTCTAGCTATGGCTACTTCACGTGTTCTGATGTTCGATCCGGAGGGACGACCGATAGATTTCCCAGGATGGCTCCGTAAGCTCAAGCTGTACTTAGGGAGTAGGATCAAGAATGACGTGCGCCTGCTGGAGAACGCCACTGCAAGCTCGTCGTTCCAAAGGATCCCGACCCCCAAGGTTCCACCCCATCAGAGGTGGAGGAGGTCTGCTTTGACAAGGCGCAATTGGCAGCCAGTCGCTGGGCAGCGCAGGACTATGGTACCGTCCTCGCCATCACCGACCTCCTCCCACTGTCTGAGCAGCCCCACTTCGACCAGGAGGTGACGGCCAAGGACATGTTCGACGCTGTCGCTAAACGCTATTCCACCCCGACCACTGTGTCCCTCGGCCGTCTGGTGTTGCCCTTTCTCTTCCCTGGCCTGCCCTCATTTCATCGTGTTGCTGATCTCATTCAGCACCTGTGCTTGCTTGATGCTCAGCTTCGCTCTGCTGCCCCTGACCCCGACCTGCTTGTCACCAACTCCCCCCCTATATGGATGGCGTTATACCTCCTTGCCACCCGCCTCCCTGACCGCTTTGCCACTGCTCGTGACCACTTCCTCACCGTTAACCCCATAACCCTCACCATTGACCTCTTTGAGAAAAGGCTCATTGTGGTTGAGAATCTTGCCCGCTCCCTTGCTGCTGCTTCCAGCACCGTCCTCCCCCCCATATTTGAGGGGTGTGCCCCGTCTTTCCTTGCCTCCCCTGTGGCCTCGGCCTCTGTTGCCACTGCAACAGATGTGGCAGCCGTTGCCTCTAGCAACAAAGTGGGAAATAAGGGCGGTAGGAAGGGAGGAGGTGGTGGTGGAGGTGGTGGAGGCGGTGGTGGCGGTGGTGGCGGTTCAAGAGCAGGCCTCTCGATGTGTTTTGAGGCACCTTGCTAAAAGTGATATGTGATCGACCTTCACCCTGCCACTACAGTGTGCCAAGTGCGGAATACTCAAGAAATTGCAGGGTTGTGTGATTTCCCTTGTCGGAGTTGGCAGGGTAAACTTTTCGCCAACACTGTTCGGCTCTAAGTTTCCCTTTTCTGAACAATATCACATAGAGCCAGGGCTGGGCTGGGAAATTGATGTAGCTGGAGAGTGACGCGAGGCGGGGAGAGGGTGGGGAGGGTGCGTAAGTGTGAAGAGTCGAGCAACTTAGGTTTAGACTTCAACGTTCTCAGTTACTCAGCTAGAGCGCCTTAGTGACTTGCCTAATTTTCAGTGTGGATCAGCGTCTTCACTCGATATTCTGTATGACACAGTGACTTAGCTGATTTTCCAGAGTGCTTGAGGCCTTGCCCAATATCCAGACAAATTTCCAGTGTGTTTCAGAGTCTTCGCTGATTTTCCTGTGTGGTTCACTGAATTAGCTGAAATTTCTGAGTTCGTGTCTCACCCAGATTTACGAGGTGTTCGTTGACTTATATTTTGTTTTGGAGAACGAGGAAGCTCGATTCTAGAAGAATATTTAAGCAGGGTAAAAATGTCTTGGACTCAGATTCGGCAGGGTTGAAAATACGCTTCCACCTGCAATTGAAGAGTATAATTTCAGAAATGTCAAGCTGTGTCAGGGTGGTAGGGTCGTCAAAGTCAATTTCGGCAGGGTGAACCTAAAAAACCACTCTGAAAAATAGGCTAGTTAGGGTAAAATACCCTGACTTCCTGGGGCCTATTCCGGAGGCAGTGTAGGAGGAGGTAGAGGGGCGCCCCAGCAGCAGCAGCTGCCCCAGCAGCAGCAGCACTCCCAGCATCAGTCGCAATAGAAGCAGCAGGCGTGGAGGCAGACAGGACTAGGGAGCTCTGCCAGTGGAAGCGACCCACCCAGCTGGACGTCGCGTGGCCTGGCCCAGACTCCCTGCCAGTACTGGGTTCAGACTTGTCATGCTTTTAATTGCAATATAGCATGAGGCAATATAAATGCATGACCAGTAGGTAATGGGATGTTAGACTGCAGGGAGGACGGCGGGAAACCAAACTGATCGAGCGGGAAGAGTCGAGAAGTGGGGTTAGCGAAACCACCGTCGCTGGCAACGATAACCAACAGGGGTACTTAGCCAAGGTGCGGGGTAGGAACTGCTTGCTTGCTCGTTTGTTTTCACAACTAAGCACAATTTTAAGTCTAGCGAACTCCTAGAGATGAGCAACCAGTGATGCCAACCTCGCAAGCCAAGAGTGTCAGCACTAGAGAGTGAAAGGCAGCCGAGCTCCAACTTCCTAGAGCAGCCGGCAAGCACAGCGCATCTAGGAACTTTCATAGTGGGTAAGCCTGCAGAGAAGACAAAGGGGCTACACAGAGAATTGAGAGCACTAAGGGGGTAAGGGAGGCAAGAACCAAGGCAAGAGGAGCTCCACTGGGAACCAAGAGAGGAACAGAGGGAGCAGAAGAGCCAAATTTACGACAGACTGGGCCGCGCCGCAACCGCCCCTATGACCGCTTCCACCCCCCGGGTCAGTGCTTTGCACAACTTACTGACCGCTACCGCGCGCAGTTCGGCCGTAGCTGCACTGTCCCCGACTGGGCCTCGCTGGTCCGCACCGTTGGACTGCAGTTGTATGGCATGTCTGCAGTAGAGCTAGATGAGGCTGTGCGATCTGTCTCTGTGATGTATGTTGACGATTCTAGTGTTGAGCAGTCTGGTTATTCCTCGTGCTTGTCTAGGGTTTAGGGTTTAGGTGATGTAGAGGTTGCTAGTGCTTTCCCTACTACGGTAGCTTGCACAGGTTCGACCACTCAGGCTGCTTCGCTGTCGTTCACACTCGACTCTAGGGCGCTCAGCTATTTCTTTCGCGACTGTACCGACCTCACACCACTACGCACTCCTGTGTCTGTTGCTCTAGCTGACTCCACAGTGGGACCAGTGGTTGCCCACAACACCACCACCCTCCCGTGTCCAACTACTCCCTCTGGGGTCCTCACAGGTTTCTACACCCCCTCGTTCTCCACGGCCTTGGAGTAGCCACCA